CCCACATAGTGTTCCGGCTTCTTGTGGTCCCAGTAAATAGCTCTTAATGTGGTTGTGGTGGACAGCTGGAGTGGATGATGAGGGTGTGTGTACCAGTGTGTGTGGGATAGTGGGGGGCACTTACCTTCCATCTCAGGTAGGAGGAGCAGAGTCATGCCCATATCATTGGGTTTCGGCAGAGCCCTCATGGGGGAATGGACTGGTCTGAGTGTCCTTAGACTCCTCCCTTGTTATGGACAGGAAGATACTTTGATGATGATGTAGGACCACCTGGAGTGAGCAGCCTCTGCTGCCAATGCTGGGCAGTCAGGATCCTGGCACCAGCCTCTTCTTGGAGGACAGCAGTAGACTTTTCCAGTAAACAGGATTTTTTTGAGCTCTGGTGGCATAGTGCCTAAGGCATTTGACTGCTAACCAGAAGGCCGGTGGTTCAAACACACCAGCCACTCCTCAGAAGGAAGTCTTCATGACCTGACAGTTACTGTTCCAGTGCTGCTAAACAATAGCCCATGTAGAGGTTAAGTACATGGCAGAATAAGTTTAATAATGACATTTTCAAATCGATGAGTGGGGCCTGCTCAGAAAGAGCAAGGGAGGGCCAAAATCTCAGGTAGTAGCCATCTGTGTGGATTCCTTCTCTCTGCTTCAGGGGTAAGAAGCACTAGTGGTACAGTGGTTAAGTACTTGGCTGCTAACTGAAAGGTCAGTGGTTTGAACCCACCAGCTGCTCCATTGGAGAAAGATGTGACAGTTTGCTCCTGTAAAGGTTATATCCTAGGAAATCCTAGGAAACCCCTTCCAAAAGGGTTGCTTTGAGTTGGAATCAATTTGATGGCAATGGAGTTTTTCAGGCCTCAGAGATACGTTCTTAGCTCTTGGACCAAGTAGTCACAGCTGTTTTTCTGAACCACTACTGAGATGCCAGGGTGGGTTCACTTTCTCCAGGAAGGAAAGAATGCTCTCAGACTCGCTTCTCATTGGCTTCTGTGTCTGAGTGCAAGTGAGGAAGCCGTTGGTCACTGCTCCCTTTGCTTCACTGATCCCCCACTTCCTAGACCACATGAGCATGGACTTGGGGGGATGAGACAGTGCAGGGGCTGGCAGCGATCACAGGCCTGGGAGGAACACTCCAGGCACCTCCTGATGATGCCAGGGCCCAGGAGAGGCCTGTGTTGTCTGGGTCAGTAACTTTCCAGGCTCAAGAGAAAGGAAAGACAGTTCTTCAGACTCCTGCTGACTGGTCTCAGGGACCTATTCTCCCAGGAACCAACCCCCTCAAGTCAGAGTGTGTGAGAGAGACTCTTGTCTTCAGAACTTTTCTCCTCTGGAAGCAGCCAGCTGGGGTCTGTTCTTGTGGCTCCTTTGCATGCTGAGCCTGGGAGAAGGAGCCTAATTCTTGGGGGCCGGGGCACGGCATGAGGGGAGCCTCTCTTCCCCTTCTGCTCCTCTCTCTTTACCTCAGAAGCAGTAGTCCCTCTTTCTGGAGGCCTTCCTCTAGCTTGGACCCCCTGAGAGACAATGACAGGCTCTAAGCTGGGGGAGGCTGCCCGGCCTAGAGCTACATCTTGGCAATTTGTGGGAGCTCAGGTATAGGGGCAGATTGTTGGAAAATTCAGAATGTATTTTAGCCAAATAGCTCCAGCCCTTTCCAGTTTGTGGCAGGTCCCCTCCCTGGCAGCCCTGGGCTGCTACAACACTGGCCCAGTGTTGCTTGGGGCAAGTTGCTGGCCAAAGACCCGAAGCCCCAGGGAAAACTGAGGGCAGGGAGATGGTCGTGGGCAGAGATGCAGCCCCCGAGTGTGTGGAGAGGGGACACGTGAGCCTTGTTGGGCATCTCTGTGCTAGCTCTTGGTGACTAACGTGGTTGGCCTGTGGGGGTGTGTGTGTGTTGATCGAGATGTTCCTGTTCTGTGGTTCTCTGATCACTTGTTTTTGGCTTTGGGCTTCTTCTGTATGAGTGTTTATTTTTAGAGGCTGCTACTTCTGGCCTGAAAGTTGATCGTTGGGGATGATCAGAGCATTTGTATTTTGTAGCTTTACATTTAAGTATTTATTTTGGGAGTATTCTGGCTTTTATGTGTGTGTTCTACTTTGTGTGTGTGTGTGTGTGTGTGGTGTGAGAACTATCTCACATCATACTAAAAATTAATGTGGACTTTGAGGTAAATTAGTTCTGATTTTAAATCTCAGCTTTACCAGGCCCCACATAATTGGAAGGTTGGGCAATCTACTTCCGTAGTGATACTGCCTCAGAAACCCAAGGAGGGGTCACTGTGAGTCGGGTCTGACTCGATGGCACATAACAACAACAACAACATATAATTGCAAATAAATGATTTCACTTCTCAAAGCCTTAGTTTCTCCATGTTTAAAATAGAAATAATACTGCTTGTCTTATAAGATTAGAAATAATGTATGTGTACTCATAGCGACCCCTCCTTGGGTTTCTGAGGTGGTATCACTATGGAAGTACACTGCTCAGCCTTCCTTCTGGGGAATGGCTGGTGGATTTGAACCACCAGCCTTCTGGTTAGCAGTCAGATGCCTTAGGCACTATGCCATCAGAGCTCCCGTAAAAGCCTAGCAAAATGTTGGCCACATAACAGGCGTCCACTGAATGCCGGCTGTTGTTTTTGGTATTTGTGTACACATAGACACACACACACACACACACACTTTCGATTGTGGTTCTGGTTGTTGTGAGGACACCTCTGGTGTACCCTGTGAGTACACATGTCTGAGTGTTTCTGAGCTGGGTGACTTCTGGTCTGCATGTGTGTCTCTGTGTCTCTTTGTGTCAGGTGTGTGTCTGAGTGTGAATGTGTGTGACTGCTGGGTCTGGGCTGGAGTCTATGTAGTGTTTGGGAGGGAGCTTTCTTCTCCTGCCAACTGCAGCCTGGATTGGGGTGAGGGCAGGGAGGCACATACGTGTGTGCATGTGTGTGCATGGGTATGCATGCATGTGCATGTGTGCATGCATGTGGTGTGTGTATGCATGCGTGTATATTGCGGGTCTCCAGGCTGGGCTGCTGACTGTATGGGGTGTGAAATCACCGAGTTCCTCTGGGTGGGGGAAGTTCTTAGTTCCTGAGTCAGCCCTCTGGCCATGAGCCACCCAGCGCTCACTTTTTCCTTTCAGAGAAAAGTGTTGCTTGTGGGGTCTTCGGGGAACTGTCTGCAGACAGAAGGACACTGGGACACCTCTCTCTGAGGAAAACCTCCACTTTTGTGTTCTTGATCCCTAAGATTACACCCTGCACGCACACACACACGCTGCCTGGGCCCGTGTGCAGCACCCGCATGGACCCCAGCATTCTGAGGGAAAGTGTTTTCCCGTGTCCCTGGCCTCCTGGCTTTGTGGAGCCCAGCCCTGGCCAGCCATTCCAGGGGCCCTCGGCTGGCTCAGAGCAGGGGCTGTCCAGGATGCTTGCTCTGCTGGCACGCTGCCGGCCTGCCTGGCTTATCTTGCCTTGACCAGTGCTCTTTTCCCTGAGGCTTTGGTGGTGTGGGTCGAGCTTGCTCATATCGGGGAGGGTCTGTGAGGAGTGGGCAGGGCCGGAAAGGCCTTTGGAAATGTGGCAGTGGGTGGGATGAATGGCATTTTATGTCTTAATGGTTTTAGAAAAATTCTTTGTGTTGAACCAGAGGCAAACTCAGCAGTGGAGGTGGAGGGCAAGTTTGTCTTAGAGAGTTCCAATACTGCCTTCCAACTCCCCAACCCCCCAGCAACAGGCATGGTGAGCCCCACCCTGCACCCCTACAGTCCTGTCCTCCTTGCTCTTTCCCAGCAGGCTTGTCAAAGGGTAGACAGGACTGGCTCTCCACACCTTTGTGTGAACTCAAGACAGTGGCTGCCTCTCTGAGTTTCCCTCTAGTCCAGAGATGGAATTCTGGGAATCAGGGAGCAGAGGTGAAAGTGAAGTTTTCTGCCATGAGATAGGGAGGCGGACTGGTGCTACTTTGGATGTCATCATTCAGGAATCAATGCTAGTGAGCATGGCAATGGAATGGCTCCCAGCTATTGAGCTCTCACCTGCTGTAAATGTCAGCTCATTTAAACTTCAGCTCATTTAAACGTTGCAGCATTAGCATTTCCATATGGTTCAGCCTGGGAGCTCTGGTAGAGCAGTGCCTAAGGCACTTGACTGCTAACCAGAAGGCTGGGGGTTCAAACCCACCAGCCACTCCTTGGAAGGAAGATTGGGCAATCTACTTCCGTAGTGATACTTCCTCAAAAACCCAAGGAGGGGTCGCTATGAGTCGGGTCCGACGCGACGGCACATAACAAAGCATAGTTCGGCCTGCGTTTGTGAGGGCAGTGGTGATTCCCAGGTAGAATTCTTGCCTCCCATGCAGGAGACCAGGCTGCATTCCAGCCAGTGCACCTCACGTGCAGCCACCACCGGTCTTTTCCCTGGAGGCTTGCAGGCTGCTGTGATGTTTCGGTGGAGCTTCCAGAGTAGGACCAGGAAGAAAGGCCTACTTTTGAAAATCACTAGTGAAAACCCTGTGGGGTCCCAAAGGTCCAATCCACAACTGATCATGGGCACGGCACAGAACTGGTCAGAGTTTTGCTCCATTGTGCACGGGGTCACCATTAGTTGGGGGCTGACATGATGGTAGCTGACAAGAATACTATTATTTTCCCCATCAGACAAGGCAGGTTAGGCCTAGAGCGTAATTTCTGTGTCTCTGTGGTCAGGTAGCTAGGAAACTGCCAGAGCCAGGCTGTGGATGGGGGCACTTTGCTCCCCAGCCCAATCCTAGGCTCTGTCTGGGCCTGCAGTCATGTGTTGGTGAGGTCTCTACCCAAAAGACTGGAGTAAGGTTCCTTTTGTCTCTTCCCTTTCCCCGCCTCAGCTCTCTCACAGGGTGGTGAGAGGAGAGGTTTTAGGGTCCAGGGAATGGCAGCTTTAGCTCCTTTCTTGGGAAAGCAGACGATGCCCCTGTCCTCACTGACCTCTGCTATCTGCTGTCTCTCTTGGCCCTCTCCCTTGCAGAGGTGGTAGGACACACCCAGGGGCCGCTGGATGGGAGTCTGTATGCCAAGGTGAAGAAGAAGGACTCCCTGCACGGCAGCACCGGGGCCATTAATACTGTGCGCCCCACCCTCTCAGCCACCCCCAACCACGTGGAACACACACTGTCCGTGAGCAGCGACTCAGGCAACTCCACAGCCTCCACCAAGACAGACAAGACCGATGAGCCTGGCCCGGGCCCCTCCAGCGCCCCCGCTGCCCTGAGCCCCGAGGAGAAGCGCGAGCTGGATCGTCTGCTCAGTGGTTTTGGCTTAGAGCGAGAGAAGCGAGGCCCCATGTACCACGCCCAGCACCTCAGGTCCCGCCAGGCTGGGGACCCTGCCATACCCTCCTCTGGCCGCCATGTCGTCCCAGCTCAGGTGCACGTCAATGGTGGGGCCTTGGCATCTGAACGCGAGACGGACATCCTGGATGATGAGCTGCCCATCCAGGATGGGCACAGTGTGGACAGCATGGGCACACTGTCCTCCCTGGATGGGGTCACCAACACCAGTGAAGGGGTCTACCCAGAGGCCCTGTCACCAATGATCAATGGTCTGGACAAGCCCTACCAAGTGGAACCCATGGTCAATGGTGGGGGCTACCTCTACGAGTCAGCCAGTCGGGCGGTCCCTGCCCATGCTGGTCACCCAGCTCCCATGCGACCCTCCTACTCTGCACAGGAGGGTTTAGCTGGGCACCAGCGAGAGGGGCCTCACCCATCCTGGCCACAGCCAGTGACCACCTCCCACTATGGCCACGACCCTACCAGTATGTTCCGCTCTCAATCTTTTCCGGAAACCGAGTCCCAGCTACCCCTAGCTCCAGCCCGCAGTGGAAGCAGCCGGGAGGCAGTGCAGAGGGGGCTGAATTCGTGGCAGCAGCAGCAGCAGCAGCCTCGCCCCCCTCCCCGCCAGCAGGAAAGAGCCCACTTGGAGAGTCTAAGGTCCAGCAAGCCTAGCCCTCAGCCACTGGCAGAGACCCTAACCCCTGGTCTTCCTGAGTTCCCAAGGGCAGCCTCCCAGCAGGAGATTGAGCAGTCCATTGAAGCCCTCAACATGCTGATGCTGGATCTGGAGCCAGCCTCAGCTGCTGCCCCCCTACACAAGTCCCAGAGTGTCCCAGGGGCCTGGCCAGGGGCTTCCCCACTCTCCTCCCAGCCCTACTCTGGATCTTCTCGCCAGTTCCAGCCACTGACCCAGTCCAGATCTGGCAACATCCCTACTGGGCATTCCTTGGGAATCACTGAGCTGGCCCCACGGGCCTCCCTGGAGTCCATCCCACCTGGCAGGTCTTACTCGCCTTATGATTATCAGCCATGTCCAGCTGGGCCTAACCAGAGTTTCCGTCCAAAGAGCCCAGCCTCCTCCTCCTCCTCCTCATCTGCCTTTCTTCCTAATGCCCATAGCCCTCCAGGGCCTAAGCAACCCCCGGCCTCTCTCCCTGGCCTCACTGTGCAACCTCAGCTCCCACCAAAGGAAGTGACTTCAGACCCATCCCGAACTCCAGAGGAAGAGCCATTGAATTTGGAAGGGCTAGTGGCCCACCGGGTAGCAGGTAAGAACCTCAGGGACTATTGATCCTGGATGTTCCCTCCTTACTCCTTCTGCCCCTCCCCACTTTGGTCTTGGTTGGTCTTGCTGGGGTGGGGGTGGGGGTGCAGACACAGCAGTTGCCCCCTGGCTGGCACTGCTTTGGCCTGGACAGAGACTGTCAGGAGCCACATGCTGGCCATGCCTTCCTGCATTCATTCCTGCTAGGCACTTGCCAGGCACTGAGATTCAGAGATGATTGTCTCCCAGGTTCTTCACTCAAGGAACTTACCAGTCTAGTGAGGGGACTGGGACAGGGACAGGGACAGATGTCCCTACCAGAGTACAATGTGTATTATGAAGGAGGTGGGCACCAAGCACCCAGCACGCAGGGGAAGGCAAGATCTACTACCTCAGGCAGTCAGGGAAAGCTTCCTGTGGGTGGTGACTTTGGGGCTGGAGTGTAGATGTAGAAGTTCTAGGCAGAGAAAATAAGGTTTCTGGGACTTCCTGCAGTGCTCTGTCCTGACACTTATGTTCCATGGAGCAGGGTTGAGGGAGGCCTCTGCAGATACTCCTCTCCTGAGCCTTTTCAGAGGTCACTGTGAAGCTGGAGACAGTGTCCTTTGTCTCTTGAGTGGTTGACCCTGGAAGAGACTTTCAGGACATTCTCTGAATGGGGAAGGGGAAGGTCACCGTTTCTTCAGGCTTCCTGTTAGTCTTTATCATAGGACCAGGCTGTGTGGGAAATAGGCGCTAGGACACAAAGCTCCATATCCCTGTCAGAGGCTGAGCACATCTCCCTGGAGAGAGGAGAGATCGAGGAGCAAACAGAGGGGCTTATTGGAGCGATAAAGGCAAGAAAGCCTCTAGCAGGTCAGAGCTTACAGCGCCACGTCGGGGCAGGACAGCTGGGGTTTCCCTGTCTGACTAGCCTAAGTCCATGACCATTCCATGGGCAGCCAGACTGGGCGGGTGATGGTGTGGGTTGATTTTGTGATGGAAATGAAACCAGGCAGGGGTGAGCATGAGGGTGTGGAGCTAGGTGAACCTTGTGCCATTCATCCACTCAGTGAGGAGAAGAGGAGTCTGAGCAGCTGGTCTCCCTCCACCCCTCTTCCTAAATTTAGGGGAAGCTGAGTCACAGGCCAGCTGCAGGGAGGGGAGGAGACACCCTCCCTGGGGATGGATGGTGGGTTTGGGGAAGCAGCTGAGAGGGCAGGTCAGCTGGCTCTTGGGCTGGGTCCAAGACCTGGGTGTAGGGCATGGACGCCTTCCTCCTGTACTTTATGGGAAAGCAGAGTGCCCACTTCCAATCTCCGCTCTGCAGTGGGAACTATTTAAGAGAATGCAGAGGCCTGTCCCAGAGCACCTGGTTCCTCAGGTCACATGACCTTCAGGGCTAACACTGTACTCAGGCTCCAAAGACTATCGAGCTTCCTCGTGGTTTTGCTCCCGACCTCACCTTTTTTTCCTTTTGTGCAATGGGCACTATTACAGAGCCATCGAGACCCAGGCCATGCACTTCCCCTCGAGTTAGCCTGTCCAATCCCCTGCCTCTGGGCAAAGTGGACTTTCTCTCACTTCAGACCTTCAGTAACCTCACAGCTCCTCAGAGGCCATTCTAAGTGACACCTGTGGCCCCAGGGTCTTAGCCTAGAATCAGGGTTCACTGGAACCACCTCTAGAAAGTTACCTTATCAACAAGATAGAGAGTAACAGATAATCCCAACTTTTAGCTTAAATATCAGAAGTAAAGACTGGATCCTAAGGAGATGGCCAGTCTGGGTTCACATTACTAAAAGTCACCTTTGAAGTATATGCAGTGACCTCATGGCAGTATGTGCTTCTGATTATGGGATTGCCGTGAGAAAAGTCCTTTGGGAGGGGCTCAAGGTGATTAGGGCCTAAGTGTCATAAACTTCTTCCCTCTCACAACCCCATACCACAGCCGGACCCTATCCTAGGGACACAGGTTACTCAGTCTTATTTTACCTTCCCTCCCCCTATAATTCTGGGGGTGTATGGAACACTAGGATGAGAGTACCTTTTCCACTGGAGCACGGGAGCCGGCTCATTCTGGCTTGCAGGAGAAGATGATTCAAGATTCAGGAATTTTGAGAGCCAGTTGTTAAGCAATGAGTAGCTTACAGCTGGCCATAGTGGTAATATTTATACCACAGAAATTGCCAATTGAGGCTTCATCCACTGGGTGGCTGGTGCACCGTTACCTTTACTTGATATTCAAAACACAGGATGGATTGCTCTGTAATACTAGGGTGACATATTTCATGGGGTGATCCAGATGGGGCTGCTGACTTATTCCTTATTCCATATCTGGGTCCCTGAGATTCATTGTCAGCAGAGTCCTTTGCCTCCTGTCTTTGGATGGGAGAGGAATGAGGCCACGCAATTTGCCTGGGGAATTGATCGACCTCTCAATATTTCACAGCTTTGAGATTGTGGCCCGAGGAACAATGACCACTGTATGACTGGTGGACAGGATTCAGGACTTTTCTTTCAGGGAACAGGATGAATTTCTTTCTCCTACCAAGACTTTTCCTTATATTGCTCATAGAGTTTGTTTAAGAGAAAGCCATAACCTTCATGGGCCCTGGAAAGATGTCCACATTATAGTGTATTTCCCCTTAGATTTGTCTCTCCTGACATATTCCAAGGTCTTGACCATTCACCTCCATATTTTCTAGCCTCTCAGACTTTGGCTGCCAAGAGGTCATAGGGAGGAATATTGTTGACATACAGGGTCCCTCCTTCCCAACTCTGCTACCATCTCCTTCACCAACTGTGAATGACTCTGTCAGGGGAAGGGATGAGCTGTACAGAAGGGAAGTCACATCTTGTCCCCCAGTACTAGACAGTTTCGTCTTTGGTCCGTGCTCTGTCATCAACAGAATTTCTTATGTCAGTAGCCCTTCAAGGGGTCTGCAGTGATTTTCTAGATAAAGAGGCAGAGGAAGAACAAATGTGTATATATAACACCCTGGGAGCCAGTGAGATAGATTCTCATACCACCACCTCTTTCTGTTTATTATGTTGCAAGAAGCTGGAACATAAGCTTCAACATGAGTAACCTGGGGAGTTCAGAGCTGAAGGAGAACCTTTTCATGGTCAAGAACTTGCTCTGGTTTCTCCTGGCTTTTTTCCCTTAGGTCTGTCTTTTCCTTCTTGGCTGCCCTCCATACTTGAGTACTGTGTTCCCAGTTTATTCCACTTTGATCCAAACACTTATTGTGTCTTATTTCAGTTTAGAGCTCAGAGCATGTAGGGACAGGTTTTTTTTTTTTTTTTAAATTTGATGAAGGTAGATAACAGAAACCTATAGTACATATCACACTTTCTTGCAAAACATTAGAAGACTTTCCACTTATCCCATCTTATCAGGGATAAGATGAGGATGCCACTTATCACCTCTATTATTCAGTGGTGTATTGGTGTCCTGGTCAATACAATAAGACATGAAAAGAATACAAGCCAGAGGTGGTGAATCCAATCAAGCTATCTTACACTACTGATTCTGTGACTGGACTGATCTCAGATATCTCTAGAGGTAGAGATTACAGTCATATTGGAAATCAGATATGGATCATCTCAAGGAGTCTAAAGTTTAGTAAGGGAAGACAGAACTGGAACATTAACATGAAGCCATTTGTAATAAAAGAAGTGTGGAGACAGTTCTGTGGGAGTGAAGGGAAGCAGGAGGGGTTACTGTCAAGAGAGATTGGAGAAGCGCTGTATTGAATATGGACTTTAAACTGAGCCTTGAAATATGGGTCATATTTTGAAAGTAGGTAGGGTCATTAGAGGGAAGGTTCATAGTGAATAGTTGGATGAAGACAGGAAAGCACAGGAAATATTTGAGGAATGGTGAGTACATTGAGAGCATATAGATTACATGAGATGTTGTTGTTATGACGGAGTCAAGTCAGGAAAAGTAGCCTGGGGCCTACTTCTGGAAGCTTTAGATAGCAGACTGAAGAGCTTAAATTTTACCTAGCAACAATATGGGGAACCATTACTTGTGCTTAGTCAGGGCAATGTACCATGATCAGAATTGTAGGTTAGGAAGATGTATCTGGTGGTTTTGGACAGGAAGAGTGGAAAATAGAAGATTAAGAGCAGGGAGATGCTAGGAAGTTATTAGATAGCATAACTGATGGGGAACTGGGTCAGGATGCTGACCACAGGAATTAAAAAGAAGAGATGGCTGCTAAAGATACAGTGGGAGTAGAACCAATACACTTAGAAATTGGTTGGATGTAGTGGGTAAGGGAGTGGGAGAATCAGAGATGATTCTGAGGGTACATGAGTTGAAGCAGAATGGTGGTTCCATTAACAAGTTGGGAGTCAAGAGGCAGAGCTGGTTTGGTGTAAGATGATGAACTTATGTAGGTATGCTGATTTTGAGGTGACAGTGGATCACCTATGTATGATGTGTGGAAGGCAGTTGAACAACTAGGGTTGGAGCTTAAAAGAGTGGCAAGAGCTATAGATTTTGGAGCCATCCTTACAGAACTGAAGGTTGAAGCTTTGAGCATGGGGAGAAAAGAACTCAGGAAAGATGGCCATGAGGGGAATTAGAGGCTGTAAAGGGGGCTAAGAACTAGGGTTCAGAGCAGGGAGAAGAGACTCAGGACAGTGCTTTATCACTGAAGTCAAGATAGTGAAGGATCTCAAGGAGGAGGGATGTGGAGGTTAGCAATGTCACCGTGGAGAGGTCATGAGGAAGAGGCCAAGACAAATTTATTGAATGTGTCAGTTATTTGGCCGCTGGTAATTTTCAAAAGTATATTTTCAGTAGAGTGTTGGTGACAGAAGCCAGACTTTGAGGGATTGAGGGGTGAGTGGAGAGGAAGTGAAGACAGCATGTCAACCACTCTTTCAAGTGGTTTTGTGATAAAAGGAAAGAAAATGGTAGCTACAAAGGGTAGCAGGATATTGGGAACTCTCTTGTAAATACAGGAGGCATAAAAATATTTTTAGGTAGAGGATTTGGAGAGGGAGAGT